TGTGTGTGTGTGTGTGTGTGTGTGTGTGTGTGTGTGTGTGTGTGTGTTGGCTGTGTGTGTAGACAGACTGATATGCAGGGAGAGCACTGAGGAAGGAGGTGTGTATGAAGCTGTGTGTGTTCCTCTATTTCAGGGGAGCATAGGATTACTGAGCAGGGCAAAGTTCGGGTGCAGAACAGGCTGGCAGGATACTACCCTCCATCAGCTTAACTAGCTAAACCCCAAGCTCTCTTGGCCCCACAGCTAGCAGAGATTCACGGTGTGCCCCGAGGCCTGTATGACGGGCCTGTCCATGAGGTGATGCTACCCGCCAAGCCAGGGAGTGGCACGCAGGCTCGTGCATCCTGTCCAGGCAAGATCTCGGTGCCACCCGTGCGCAACCTGCACCAGTCGGGGTTCAGCCTGTCTGGTGAGTTGGGTCTGGGAATGGGATAAGAGGCTCTTCCGTGCTAAGTCCAGCCTGGGCCCAAAGGAATCTAAGCTCAGCTGGAGACTTGGACATGTACACACACAGGGCAGATCCCAGGGGTGGGCCTGTGGACAGCCAGTGTGGGTACTGTAGGGTAGGAGGTACCGACCCTAGTGAGGGGCCTCGTTTGAGGCCTTCTGGAGGGAGATGAGGTGTGTACCCTTGCTACAGAAGCCCATTCCTGGCCCAGCATTTGCCCTTGGAGTGTTGCTGAGATGAACCCTCAGCTTGAATCAAGCAAGCTGGGAGAGGGCACGTCAGCTCAGGACTACACATAGAATGTCCAGCCTCAGTGGGAGGAGAGGGACCCTCTCTGGGGACCCAAGTTATAATACAGCCCCCTCAGTGCCACTAGCCCCAGAACCACTGGTAAAGTATGAGGCATGGGTCTGAGCTGTGGTCCTTAGCACTTAGGGACATGCTATAATGAATCTGCCATGCTGACCAACAGACTTGGCTTTTAAGTGGTCAAGGGACTTGCCAGTCTCCCATCTTGCCTACAGACCAAAGCCAGACTCTCTCTACCACTTTGCCAATCCTTGAGTAGGGGCTCTATTACCATATTGTCTGCACTCTCTCATCTTCCTGCTTGGGTGAGCAGCCTGACTGGCCACCTGCCTTATCAGCCATGGCTTTGGGGAGAAAAGCAGCCCTGAGTATGAGGTTGGGTAGATATGCTCTGTGTTCCTCGCTTAGCGGGTACAGCCAGCCATTTCTAACTTCCCTTTTGGATGGAAGGAGAGTCCTGCCATGTCCCCACCCCTTTCAACCTCCTTATCACACTTTCTTGCCCTTCCTTCAGGGTCTCAGGCTGATGATCATATTGCCAGACGTACAGCTCAGAAGATCATGGCGCCCCCTGGAGGACGCTCCAACATCACTTCTCTCTCCTAGACTTGGGGTCTGGCAAGCTGGTGCTGTCCCCACTGGCAGGATGTGGGGACCACTCACTTTCAGTTAGCTCCTTCCTTTGTAGACGTTATCGTGAACGGTGCTCAGCCTTGCCCTCCCCTTCCCCATAAAACTCTCCCCACGGAGTCCCAGACCCCAATGAGGTACCCCCTCCAGAGGGCCGAATCCAGGGAGAGTTCACTGCCAGAGTGAGGACTAGGCATGGCAGTGAGCAGGTGCCTCTTGCCCCCCTGGTCTTCCCATGAAGAGCTCTCTGCCTCGAGCCCATGAGCTTTCCAGTGTCTGGGTGGTGGCAGGGCGGGCGTCTGCTGCTTCCACACCCCCAAGAAATCACTGCCCTGTGGAAGCCTGGGGGCTTCCACCAGCTCTGTGCTAAGGTGCAGCTACTCCTTGGGGGCCTGTCCCCCTGTCTGCCCTGGTGCAGGGAGGAGAGCAGGTGAGCGGAGCCTCCGCTTTGCGGAGCAGCTGTGACTTCAGGGATCCATCAGTTTCTTGGTGAAGGGTAGCTCCCTCCCACATACACTTCCAAGGACCAAACCTGAGCTCCTATAGCAGCCCCCTCTAGGGAGTTTGACGATCCCTTAGCTAAGACACTTTCCTTTTCCTACAGAGCGTGTTTCCATAGGTTTACTAGAGTAGCGGTTTTGTACTGTGAGGAAACCATAGCCAGGGATCTGCATGCTGCTGTACCAGATACCGGCCACCAGCCAAGCCTGATGTGAGTCGGGTCAATAAAACAAAAACAAAAAAACCTCTGGGTTAGAAGCTGCTTGTGTGTTGCCAGCCAGACTTCTGTCCCTCACAAACATTTGCACAGGGACCAGGGAGAGCCTGCCACTGCTGCTGCCACCTCTGCCCAACCCCATGCCATCTACCAGTGTAGTCTCTGCCTGCTCTGGGCCATGGGCGTGGCTGGACCTGAATGGTGGAAAGGCTCTTTCTCTTAGGATCTTTGGCTGTGATATACAGCCAGAGGGTCAGCAGGAGGACACCCATGCTCTGCCTGGCCAGGCTCAAACCACTCCAGCTGGAGCGAGGTAGTAAATGAAAGACTGTGAGGTGTGCCCTGCGGGTGTGGTGTAGTGTGGAGGACAGCTCAGGAGACCAGCACAGCTGCTGGCAGCCAGGCCCAACCCCTGGAAGGAAAGTAGCCAGGCAGTTTCTATCAGTGCGTTCCTGGGGTTGGAACCTCTGGGCTGGCCTCCTGGCCTTCGCCTATTCTCATGGAGGTGGTCTCAGTTCTTTAACCCAAGTGGGGGATCCCTCCAGAAGCTGGAGGTCTTCTCCACGCTACCTGTCCCTTCTCCTCCCAACATCCATCCTCAGCAGCAGGAGTGTTTCAATGGGAACCTACAGCACTGCTGGCACCCAGATACTCTGTATGGTAACCAGGGTGGCTACTGTCCTGGGAGGGCCCTGTGCATGGCGTGGTTCCCAACTGAGCCCACATAGGCCCGTGGAACACTGGGCTAGAGGGCAGAGAAGAGGCCCATGTGGCTGGCCTCATTCTAAGTGGCTCCTCTGACCACTGAACCCTGGGGTGTGAGGGGCAGACATCATATTCTTTGGTTGTGTTTCTCCTGTCCAGCCCTGTAGGAGCCATGCTGTCTGGCTGCTACCCTGAGGCTCTCTTAAGCTTTTGACAATATTCACTTGGCTTGGGGCTTCAAATTGCACTCAGCAGCCCTCTTCCAGTTTCTGTAAAGGCTGGGGCAAGCCACCAGAATGCCACCGTCCTGGGGCACCAGCTACACAGCGGCCCCAGTCCACTTTCTCCATGGAAAACTGCAGGCACGGGATGCCATCACTTCACGGGCACATAACATACAGAGTATGCGACACGGCAGTTCTTAGACTGTAATTCTCAGGGGTGAAAACTATACACAAATTGCAGAAATTGCCAGAGCAGTGTGTATCGCTAGAAAACATTCTTTAGCCATCCCACCCACTCCCTCCCCCAGCCCCCACCCTCAATAACATATCAGAATCAACAAGGCCTGTTCCCACCCCGACAGCCTTGAGTGGCAAGCTCAAGGCCATTCTGGCCAGGCCACAGCAAAAACTGGCCACAAGGCTATGTACAGCCAACTTCAAAGGGGTCCAGAAAGCCAAGGGCTTCTGCCTTACTGTGCCACCCTGGCCACCTGTAATCTGCCAGCCTACAGTTAGAGGGGCCAGCCATTGTGATGGCTGCATGACTCCCTCTCTGGTGCAAGTAACCACTCGAGGTACCGAGGCCTCTCCTTGCCCAGCCACCACTCTCGACGATGGGCACCCATGGCTCCCAGCAGTTTCACCCTATTGACAGGGGCAGGCTGGGCGGTCAGGCCTTTGCCCCAATGCTGCCTCCTTCTGGCCGTCCTGAGTCTTCAAAGCAGCCTGAGAGAGAACTGCCCTAGGACACAGTCCAGTTGGCTTAGCTGCTCCCAGATGAGGGGCAGATGGAGCCACACATGGGCAGGGCTGTGGGTTCTGCCTCACTGTCTGCAGTGGAATCTGTCATATCTGAAGTCTCAGGGCCTGGGAGAGGTTCGTTCATGAGTTCCTGGCTCCTCTTCAACCTGGAGTGCATTGGGGACGACAAACATACAAGTGAATCTGTAGCTCACCAAATGGCAGAGCCTCAGTAGCAGTCCAAGGACCCCGGATGTAGACTATATGGCTCTGTCCTAGGAGCCATGGGATGTGTCCCTCCTGTTGGATGCCAAGACTCTTTCTTGTTGGAAGCCCTGTTCTGGTACATGCTGGAAACACAGGGAGCCAGAAAGTGGACATGGATGCTGAGAACATCAGAAGCATGGGAGGCTCGGTGCTCTACTGCTGGCCGCAAAGCTATGAGGCTGGAAGTCACCGGCTGGCTCTGCATCTCAGCTCATTCAGAAGAAGCTGAGGGCCTAGCTCAGGCTCTGTTCAAAGAGTATGGCCAAACCCACAGTTCATCTTTTCCTCTAACCGCAGGCCAGGGCCAGTGTCCACCACCAGCACCACACTGCTCTGAGCATCCTCCCCAGCCTAGTACAGAGCCATTGCCTCTGGGAAGACCTCCTTGCTTCCCAGGCGGGGGGAGTGCTGACCCCTTCCTTGGGCCCCGATACACCAGGCTATCTCCACTGAGGCAGGTGTTAGTCTTACCCTGCCAGGCACCTGTGCCCTTTTTGCCCCACTGGTATTAGACAGTCAGGAAAGCCTTTCTGAGTGAGTGACCAAGTGGCAGGTGTGACTGCAGGGGTCACCGGGAGGTGACTGGTTCTCGTCTGAGCCAAGTGTGTCCCTGAGATTCTAACCACTGGATCTAAGTCCACCTAGAAGGTTCCCAGGGCGCCCCTCCAGGGGCCTGAGCTGAGACTGTTCAACTCTACCTTCCATGTTCATCACTTGTCCTTCTCAGCATGGGACGGGCCTCACAGGCCACATGGCTGCTGGGACATCTGTGCTGTGGAGCCCCTGTTCTATGGTCCTTCATATATATATATATACTCACTTTTCTCTGTTAAAAATCACAAAGTCTTGCTGGATGGCATCCAGGCAGTCTTGAAGGTAGTCATTCTCCTGCGGACAGAAAGACAGTGACTTGTGCTGGTTGCTATGGGCAGTTTCGAAGTACTGCTCCAATGGCCCACTCGGGCGCTCTGGGGAGGAAACCCCTGGCTTCCGAGGTATTCTGCTCTTCTGAAGCCCATCTGTTATAGCTGAGAGCAAAATCACTAAGGACCAGATGGGGGCGGGGCATGGCATGGGAAAGACAGCTGCCTCAACCCTCCTGTGCTCTGTGAACCTGCACGTGGCCCCCCGGTCTGTGTCCCTTCCAGGAGGATCTGGTAGGCACCGTGAGGGCTCTGTTGCTCCCTCAATAGCTGTCTCCACTTACCAGTCTCCCTCAGAACCTTAGTTGTGTCTCTGCAAAGCATGGCCAGGCTGAGCGGTGATGGACCCTCTTGGGAGCTACAGGACATCTAATAGGCACCAGTGAGAACCAGGACAACAGGCCTGGGAGTGAGCTTTGGGGCCATGGGTGGGCTGTAAGTCAGAACATGTGGCTAAAGACTTTCTTCCCTGGCTTGGAACCAGTTTCCTGGTGTGAGCACCTGGGTTGGGTTTCAAAACACTACAGGACAGCTTTTAGGGACCAGGTTATGGAGTTCAAGGGAAGATTCCAGATCCTCCTTGGAAGAGTGCTGAGAAGTGAAAACCCCTGCATGGGCAGGCTGAAGAGGAAAGGCCAGGGAACCTATAATACATGGTCTCCTTCCACAAGGTGGAAAGTAATGAGCTGGGGATACTGGGATGGGAGTCACTGCTATAACTCATCCCCTCGTTTCCATGTTGGTGATAGCACATCCAAGCAGCCGAAGCCCAGGGGAGAACACTGACTGATTCAGGAGGTGGAGTGTGGGATGGTATCCAGTGGAGCCTGGGGATCTTGGTAGTCAGAGGGAACAGGGTTAGACAGGCAAAGGCTCTCAGCTGCCTGGGGGAGGAGACACAGTTACCTTCTTACTTTCCAGAGCCAATATCAGCTCTATAATCTATCACCTGAGAGGGGTTAGGTCCCCTAAGAGGGAAGACAGCTAATTCACAGCAAATGCATGCTCTGAAGACCAGCATGCCTGTAGCTGTCTCCACAAAGGGGATGTCCAGTGCCTAGAAGCCTGCTGAGCTAGCACTCAAGTCCTTTTCTCTGGACCCAGTGGCCACAGACTCGCCCTTTCCCTGGATGTTGAAGACAAGACTCAGGTAAAGCTTATGGCATCTGTCAGCACTGGCTTTCCTGTCAACTCTTTGACCTGTGGGTAACAGCTGTTATAGGTGAGGAAGGGGACGGGGAGGCAGATGTAGGTTAAGAATAAAGTGTAAGGTATGCAGATCAGAACATTTTAGAGACATAGTAACAGTAGTTAACACTGGATTATAACGTGAAATTCCTAAAAGTATAGATTTTGAAATTCAGTCTTTTCCCCTCATGCATACAATAATGATAGGAAGATAATGGCCACATTACTTGGTTTTGCTTCAATGATTATTTACAATTTTTGCTGTAATAACATAAAAGTTTGTACACCTTAAGTGACTATAGCTTTCAGGCCAATGATTCCTAACCGAAACTGTTTTAAAAATGGCTGGTGTAGAGGGCTTGGGCTCAGTGGATAAAACACTTGTTATGCAAGCGTGGGAATTCTGATTCCCAGCCCCCACATAAAAAGATAGGTAGGCATGGAGGCCACCCATAATCCCAGTGCTCGGGAGGTAGAGGCAAGGAGAGGGGGCTGGCTGGCTCACTAGACTAGCTGCATCAGCGAGCTCGTGTTCAAGAGATCACGACTCAGTAAATCAAGTCAAGAGAGTGAAGACATCAAATTCTGTCCCCTCCCTGCATACACATGACCACATACCTGCACATATGTGCCCTTGCCAAGAATATACACATTAAAAAGAAGATGCTGTAATAAACGAGATCTGTAGACCAACTAGCCTACATGGTCACGGAGAAGGATGACACTCAGGCCAGAGTGACCAAAGAGAGCGACAGTCGGAGGTGTTCGTCTTCCGCCTCTTCCTTCTGTTATGGTGTCTCATAAAATTCCCACTTGCCCACAAGTCATCCTGCAAGAAGCAAGGTCCTCTGGGATCATCCTTCCAAGGTCAAGGATGTGTGGCTCTACCTCACCTCTTCCTACTGGGAAAGCAGCACAGACCCTGGCCCGTTTCTTCACCTTTCAGAGGCAGCTGGTTTTTCTTACTCCTATACAATGTTCTCCAGAACACACTCGTCTCTCCTTCTCTCCCTCTCCCTCCTTCCCTCTCTCTGCCTCTCCTTCCCTCTCTCTCTCTTCCTCTCTCTCTCTCTCTCTCCCCCTCCCTCCTTCCCTCTCTCTCCCTCTCTCTTTCTCTCTCTGTATGTTCCTTTCTGGTGGCTCTGTCTCCTGACTTGGGGGTCTCTTGTCCTTGTATCTATAGCAGGCGCAGACCAATCAGTACTTGGCTGGTGGCTTGAAGGGACTCCAAAGATCTTGAAATCTCTGTAGCTCTCTCCTTGGCGGGAGGTATCACCCCCGCAGCACTTGGCCCCACCTCCGTGGCCCCCCTGTGGAATGGAAGGGGCCTGCATTCCAGCCAAGGAACTGCCTTTAACCACCAAGAGGAGGTTGGACTCTGATTCTGTGTCTTTCTACGTACTCCCTGGCCTAATTCTGATGGAGAGCAGACAGACACAAAACTCTAATCTGAGAAGATAAAGGCAGCCATAGGCTCAGGCCCCTCATGGATGAAGGTCTGAATTATGGCTTCATCCAAGAGAATGCTAAGATTGGCAGAGGTGTGTTATAAGGGTGGGAAGGAAGCAAATTGGCACCGGGGTATCGGTCACAAAACAAGTATCTGCTGTGGCCCTGACCATGTAAGCAGTGCTACAACAGGGGCTGTGGTCTATCCTCTAACTTCTGCAAAAACATCTAGGAAAAGTGGCCCTGAGTGCGGCAATGGTAGGCTGCCGTGGACTCTAAGTGCTTCCTTGAGCTGTTTTCCACAGACTCCGCTGGACTAGTCCAGGTGCTGTCGTCAGGAGGACTCCTATGATGTCTTCCTGTTCTGGTTCTACTGCACCTCTGAAGGCTGAATGTCCAAGTTCAGCTCTTCTCCAGTCGCTTATGGTGGGTTGTTGGAGCCCTGACCAACAGAGCCCCTCAAAACCTAGATCCAGTGCAGGAGCGTGAAAGCTTGGTCCCTTTGGAGCTGGTCACTTTTATATCACGGCCTCCACCCTTGCTGGCTCAAGCTGAGCCTCTACCCCTCAGTGATTGCTCCTGGGCTTTCTTCCTTGCTGGCTCATATGCACACGACTCCTCCAGTGTGGAAGACATCATCAGAGCCCAAATAAATGCTCAGACTCAGCATCAGACTCCAGATGTCACCCATGTTGACAAAGAGCCTGGGAAATGGAGATCAAGTCCAACCCCTAACTCTGTCGCAGAGAGATGTATGTGTTAAGGAGCTCGGTACCATTCCTAAACCGCCCAGAATTCCCTAGAAATGTAAAAGACCTAGAACAGGGCAATAATCTTGAAAGAAAAGAACAAAATGGGAAGAGTCACCATGTCGGGTTTCAGCACTGACCTCAAAGTGACAGCAACTAAGACACCATGTGCTGGATGAGGACAGATCAATGGGGTAGGAATTAATCCATAAATAAACCCTGCTATTTATGGTCAAATTGAGTTTTGGAAATGGTGCCAGGAAGTGCAGTGGGGGAAGAAAAGCCCTCTCAACACATTTCTGCAACCATCAGATATCCACATACAAAAGAATGAAAATGGACCCTCCCCCGACATCACACATAAAAATCAGCTCAAACTGGATCACGGGCATAAATACAAACCCTGGAGCTACACAGCACACAGGCAAAATCCTCACGACTGCGGGTTCAGCGAGTCTCCCCAATACAGCAAAACAAGAGCAATGGATGTTCCCAGCAGCTCACATGAAAGACTCCAGCTGCAGATGACACATCCACAAAGACATCACAGTCTGGCAAGAGGGACAAGCACGTGACAGTCATACATCTGGCAAGTGTAAGGAAGTAACTTAAAATGAAACAAACAAACAAACAAAAAAGCCACAAAGATTTCCACATTGGGCACTGCTCTGTAAGCAGCTTCCACATTTCCGCTGCCATTCTTTTAACCAGAAAAAAAGCTGACGTACTGAGACCAGTGGATTTTCTTGGACCTGTCAGAGCCGAAGACAGAGAGCCACAGTGCCCCCAAACATATAGAAAACAAGAGTCCTGGATGAAAGGGTTCCCCGGAGCTGAAGCTAGCTGATCAAGACTGCAGAAGTGCCTCCTGGAGATCCTCAAGCTGTATTCCTAGGGCCCACTCGCAGGCTCTCACTCCTTTGTGGGCTTCATTCCAGGAAGCCAATAGTATTAATGGGGAAATCAGAATGGTTCTTCACTTGGGCTTAGAAGAGGAGGGAAGAACAGCCAGAGAAACACACCCACAGTCTTCCCTATGAAAGTAGAACCTGGTGTCCAAGGGGAAATCCACCATAGTGGGGAGGTGATTTTTCTCACAACAAACTCCCCTAGACTTGCCCAATCTCACCCTAGGGGAGGGAAAGAGCTGAAAAAATATTGGTGAGGGTCCGTGAATTAATACAAACGACTCGCCCCATCTGATTTCGGCACCGAGAGAATGGCGGGGCACAGCACACGTGCTGATGGGAAGGGGCTTCTTGCTATGAGAACGTGCCCCCACTCACATGAAGGGGTGTTGCGTGAATGTAAACTTTAAGTGGCTAAAAACAAGGTGAAAATTCTACCACACCCTCTGGAAGGATTTTAACGCTCATTTGTGTGCATGCATGAACTACACGTGGCATGGTGTGTGTACGGTGGTCAGAGGAAGACCTTTAGAGAGCCGTTCTCTTCCCTCCATAATGTGGGTTTCAGGACTCAAACTCAGGTCGTTGGGCTTGGCAGCGAGCACCTTTACCCACTGAGCCACCTTGACAGCACTGCTAAAACAACCACTGGAAGATGTGTAATTGGTGAACTAAGGATGGAGGAGAATTGTGTAAAGTGCTTGATGAAAACCCGAGGAGGCAAAGCTGGAAAGAACAAACGCGGTAGGTGGACAGACTACGAACAAAATAGAAAGGAATCTGACTATATGTGTTTGTCAGTGGAAAAACACATCGGCTAAAGACAAGTACGGGCACGGTGGACTGTAAAAGATAATCCAGCTTTCCAAGGACAGAAAGGGACAGTTCTCCGATAAGAAATGTGTTCATTAGTCAGTAAAATGCAAATAAAAACTGCCATGGGAACTGGAAGTGTAGCTCAGCTGGCAGAGAACCTAGAATGCATGGAACATTGTGGGGTATGGCAGAGCACACCCCTACTCCTAGTGTTTGGGTGGTAAAGGCAGGAGATCAGAAATTCAAGGTCATTCTTGGCTATAAAATGGATTCAAGACCAGCCTGGGCTATATGAGACCCTGTCTCAATGAACAAACACCCAACAAAATATGCAAACAAACACAATACTTCATCAAACCAAACACACACACACACACACACACACACACATACATACACACACACACACATACATACACACACACACACACACACACACACACACACACACACACACATGCGTGCTCGCGCAGCACATACCAAAAAACCCTCACTGCCTCCTACTCAGTGTCATGGTTCACAATTTAAGATGCAAGCTGAACGGTAAGAAGAACTGGTGTGGACGTGAAGAATTAGCACTCTCATGGGTGGCCAGTGGGAGTATCAGATGGCACGCCCTGGAACACACCACGGCACTGACAAACCAAGGTGCAGAGGTGTCATACAAGCCAGATGTCACACTAAGGTCCCTCCAAAGAAAAACAAGAGCACGGCTGCAGGAGGACCCACACAGGGATATTCATTCACACAGCGTTACAATGGTTCAAAAGCAGAAGTGGCCCAAATTCCAGTCTAGTGACAAATGGCTGAGTGAAATGTGATATATTCACAAATAAAGCACTAAACGGAAAGAGGATTTTTTTCACAATCAGAAGAAGGGAAGTGCTGGCCTTGGGGACATTGTAGGGTGAGTCTTGAAAACACTGTACCAAGTGCAAGAAGCCTGCAGGACCACACTACGATTCATTCTAGGTGAAATGTCACCCACAGGGACAGAGGCAGCTGCCATATCTGTAGGGGGAGGCTGGAGAAGAGCAGTTGATGAAAAGGGGCTATGAAAAAATTCTCCACTTAGACTGTGGTGGCGGGTGGTCCAGAAGCCAGAGATGATGATAACGATGATGATGATGATGATGATGATGATGATGATGATGATGATGATGA